CCCTTTTCACTAGCCATCTCCAAGAGTTTAGTATAAAGTAATTACATCCCAAAAAGTAAAGCAAGGAAAACACATCAGAAATTAGAAAGTACAACCAAAGAGAGCCTAATTCAGACTTCCTATATGAAGTATGAAGTAAACCAACTCCAAGAGTTCATATTTCAAAGCCCTTCTCCCATTTGGGGTGTGTCAGAGTTCCCTAAGAGTTTCATAAGAACTCCGGATAGTGCTTACACCCAAATGTATCATAGATTAAGCCATAGTGCGGTGTGGAAGGGTCAGCCCTCAGGTGTCCAAGTTCAGAGAGAACTCAAGGTCCCAAGGCAAGGCTCACAAGAGGGGGGCAAAACTTAGAGACTAGGAGAGAGTGCAAGTGCAGAATTCTGAAAGGGGAAGGGAAACAGTACACATAGGGATATAGGGAATGGGGGATTGTAGGAGCACAAGAAGAGCAGGCTGATGGGCATACCCAACAATGGGATATGTTGGCACACCCTCTAGCCTGTTTAGAGGTTAAGACCACATTGGTTCAAACTCAGTTCATGGACAACAACTCATATTGCCATACCCTAAGCCATAATTTACAAACACATAGGGGTAATGGGATAGGGAGCAAAGATTCACAACAGAAACAAACAGTATAACATAGGCATACTAAGCTAAATGTCGAACTCTACAGAAAATAATAAAGTAGATATGGATACAACGACTGTAAGTAAACACAGTGGGGTGATACTGAAACTTAAATCAGGACATACCAGTTTCAAAGAAATAAGTAGAAAAAGCAGTAGACTTGTAAAAGCCAAAGTGCAAACAGGAAGACAAAATACTATAAGTGTGAGTTCAGAAGAGATTGTGAATTTGTGAAGTCTGAAGTGTGTGTTTGTGAAAAAGGGTCGTGCCTTTTATAGTGTAGAAAGCAGACAGAAATAAGGTAAGAAAATAGTTTGAAAACTGATTGTCAATAAATTACACAAGGCTTCCCTTAATTAAGGGATTCAGATTCAAAACGAGTAAAACCATTTAAGGAAAGGAATTGAATAAACACTTTGTGTAAAACATGTAATTAAGGGCAAATACATAAAGGTTATTTAAGGACAGGGTTTTGACAGTACACGGTTTGGTGCAAATAAGGTAAGGGAGTCAATTAACATCCAGTAAATCACAAGGTCTAAGGTTTGGTATGAATGAACCAAGTCAAAAAATATGAAGTAGGGTTTTACTTAAGTCGGGTAATAGAGGAAATCAGTAAATGATGGAAAGAAATCAATCAAGCTATATTCAGAAGGAAGTTTGCACTAATTGCCAAATTTGAAAACCATTTAGAGGAAAATTCATCATATATAAGGAGCATGTGAGCATGAGAGAAGACTATCGTGTAAATCAGTAGAAAAAATCTAGTGTAGAAGAGTTCAGCAAAAAGTTCAGCATTGCATGAAAACAAAGATGTCCGAACTCAGCTCAGAGACTCAAAGTCAGTCTGAAGGAGTTAAGGGTTCTGAAAAAATAAAACCCTAGTTCAATAAAACCTCGGCAGAACTCCCAAATTCTAGGGTTTACACCTTGAATCAAGTACAGAGATGAGAAGACAAGCAGTCGAATCGAAACATGTTTAGAGGTTTCAGAAAAGAACAGAAACTTCTTACATGTTTCTTCCAGCAACAGAACTCATGAATAGCATGTAAATACAGTAGAGGGGTTCAAGGCA